AAAAAAAAAAAAAAAAAAAAAAAGTTCTGACAGATAAACAACAAGAAAAACAAGTAGTTTGAGTGTTACCTCTACTAACACTAACAGTACATTCCTGGTCATTTTGCCTCTCTAAACTTCAGTTCTCTACTGTCTAACACAGGAATAACATCAACGCCTGACAGAGATGTTGTGAAAATTAAATAAAACAGGGATATGAGTGAATCAGGTGTAACATAAATACTTAAATAAATGGAAGGTGATGAGAGAAGCACTAGCTAATTCAAGAGCTTAATTTTATAGGGATAAAGTTGACATAATACAATTATCTATCATATAGAAATGAAACAAAAGAGATACAAACCTGACATAGAAGAAATATGAAACAAGTAACATTTGCTCTCTGACACACACAACTGAATTAGTGCAACTGTGCCCAGTCTCCCTTTCTTGTATATCGGGGGCCATTCCATGTCAAATCCTACCACATCTCCATCAGACAGACTCATGCTAAAGGGGGAAAAATAGTAGAAATTAATTACATTAAAATTTTAACTTCTGCATAACTAAACACATCATTCAAAAGTTAAAAGAGGGCCGGCCACAGGGCTTAGCGGTTAAGTGCGCGCGCTCCGCTACTGGCGGCCCGGGTTCGGATCCCGGGTGCGCACCGACGTGCCGCTTCTCCGGCCATGCTGAGGTGGCGTCCCACATGCAGCGGCTGGAAGGATGTGCAACTATGACATACAACTATCTACTGGGGCTCTGGGGGGAAAAAAGGAGGAGGACTGGCAAATGGTGTTAGTTCAGAGCTGGTCTTCCTCAGCAAAAAGAGGAGGATTAGCATGGATGTTAGCTCAGGGCTGATCTTCCTCACAAAAAAAAAAAAAAGTTAAAAGAGAAGCCGTACGCAGTAGAAGATATCTTTCCTACACATAACTGATAATGAATAGCCAGAAAATATTAAAAATTCCTTGAAAAATCAGTAAGCAAAAGACAAATAATCCAGTGAAAAAATGGAGAAAAATAACACAAATAACATATAAATAGCAATTCCCAAAAGGAAATCTAAATGGTCAACAAATCTAAATAAATATGCAAAGACAAAAAATCTCACTAGAAATCAGAAAAATGCAAATAGATTAAATCTATACAATTTTATATTTATCTGATTGGCAAAAATTCAAGCCTCAGAATATCAAGTGCTGAGAAGGATATTTACCAGTGGGACCACTCATATACTGGTGCATGTTTAACTTGGTAAAATCCTTTTGGAAAAAGCTTTAACAATATTTAGCTGAAGATGTATAAATACTATGACCCAGCAAGCTTTTCTCATATGTATGTGAAACTCTCGTATGTGCAGAACCAAACAGAAATGTTTAAGAATGGTCATTGCAGTACTGTTCCTACTGGCAAAAGTGGAAACAAACTCTATTTCCATCAACAAAAGAAGGGGCAAATTGTGGCATACTGAAACAATGGAATATTATATACAAGTTAAAATAGAAATACATACACCAAAAAGAAAAATTGTCAAAAACATAAAATGTTGAGTGAAAAAGACAAGTGGCAGAATACAGACATAGTTTGATAGTATTTTTTAAAGTTTTTAAATGGGCAAAATAATAGTATATGATATTTTGGGATATAAAATTATGAATATTAGGGGCCGGCCTGGTAATGTAGCGGTTAAGTGTGTGTGCTCCGCTTCAGCGACCTGGGGTTCGCAGGTTCCAATCCCGGGCACGCACTGACACACCACTTGTCAAGCCACGCTGTGGTGGCGTCCCATATAAAGTAGAGGAAGATGGGCACGGATGTTAGCCCAGGGCCAATCTTCCTCAGCAAAAAGAGGAGTATTGGCATCAGATGTTAGCTCAGGGCTAATCTTCCTCACAAAAAAAAAAAAAAATTATGAATATTATAGAAAACTCTTGAGGGAATGCTAAACACTGAATTCATGATAGAAATGATCTCAGAGGGCTACAGAGGGGAGAATCAGAAAGGGCTTACACGGGCCCTCAGCTATATTTATTGTTTCATTTCTTAATAGAGATTTGAAGAAAATAAATACTAAGATTTAAAAAAGCTAGGTGGGAGGAATATGGGTGCTTGTTACATTGTTATCTACTATTGTTTATATTTGCCTATTTCACAATTTTTAAAAATTAAAAATGTGTTTTAAAAATTATAAAACACTCTACTTCTGCTTTGGGCCAAGATGGAATACTAGTGATCGGACATACCTTTCCTCCATGAACAAACAGAAAATGGGAAAAAATATATAAACAGTTTTCAGACACTGGACAATAGGCAGTACAGGACTATGCCCTCTGAAGGAAGGGAAACAAAGGGGAACCCTACTGTTGCCCCAGCTTTCTGCCTAGAACACTTTCCAGATAACAGAACAGGGAGGAGAATCCAAAGCAGAGCACTGAGTTGGCGAGACAGGGTTCAGAGCCAGAGAGGTTGAGGCAGCTGGAAGTCGTGGGTAGAGTTTTGGAGAGGAGGGAGCCTGGCAAGCTAGGGAGCTCACGCAGGCATAGAGTGAAACTATGAGGCTAGACAAAGAACAACCAGGGAACTGTATGCTGAACAACTATGTATGCCCATACAGAGGAAGAGGCATTAAAGTTCTGAAAAGTCGGAGTAGAGATTCCTGTTGACCACCTGGGGCAGTCAGCAAAGACTCTAGAGGGATCACACCTTATTGTAGGGCTAAATTATCCCCAGAGTGAAGGGTATTGTAGACCTGCCTAATAAAGCCTAAAAATAAGCATCAAATTGTACAGCTGATCTTAGGTAACTTAACTGCCCGACAGAGCAAAGCTCCTTTCTTGGTAGGAAAACAACAAAATCTAACATTCAACAAGGTAAAATCACAATGTCCATTCAAAAATAGTCCAGCCATGAGAAAAAACAGGAAAATGTGACCCATAACCAAGATAAAAATCATTTAATAGAAAAAATAACTAGAATAATGGAATTAACAGACAAGGACATTAAAACAGCTATTATAAATATGCTGAATATGTTCAAAGATTTAAAAGAAAACATGAATATGATGAGAGCTAAACGTAAGATACTAAAAAAAAAGAAACAAATGGAACTTCTAGAGGTAAAAAATACAATAAAATTAAAAATTCAGAGGATGGGATAACAGCAGATCAGACACTACAGAAGAAAAAAATAAGTGAACTTGCAGACATAGCAAAATAAACTATTCAAACTGAAGCATAAAGAGAAAAAAGAATGAAAGAAAAACAAAAAAAGACTGAAAGGAAGAGAGCCTCATGACCAATGACACAGTCATTAAGTGTGTATTGAGAGTGCCAGGAGAAAAGAGTAACAGAACAAGAGAAAAAAAATTTGAAAACATTTTTTAAATTTGATGAAACTATAAACCCACAGATCCAAAAAGCTAATGAACCCCCAAGCGAGATAAATACAAGCCACACTACACAAAGGCATATCATAATCAAATTGGTGAAAACTGGTAATAGCAAAAATCCTTCAAGTGGCCAGAGAAGGTGAAAAAAACCCTGCTGCCTTTCATAAAACACATGCAATTCATCAAAACTACAGTCTTCAAACCACTTACGCTTACTGCCTTCAGATATGACATACTACGGCACAGTCAAAGCTAAGATGGTGGCGTTAATATATAATCATAAACAGAATTTACCCTTCTCCATGAGACAAATTTAAATCTATATAATGAGACCCAAAAGTGGTCAGATAACTACAGTGGGAGGGAGGACACCTGAATGCTATCTAGAAGACATCTCACCAGGAGACCGTTAACAAGCAGCTTAACTTATCTCTGCTTCTTTTAACCCAATGTATAACAGTTTGAAAAAAAAAAAAAAAAACAGAATAAATATAACAACTTCAAATATCTGAGTGAATTCCTTACTAATTCTCCCTGTAAAATGCTTCAAGGGTCATAGATTGTATTATTGCAGAGTCCTAATTTAACAAGGCAATTGAAAAATACTAGCAGTTATTTCTGATGTTCTTTTTAAGGATCATTTGCTATAGCTGTGGCTAACTAAATGCAACAGAGCCAATCACAACCATTATTAAATATTACTATGTTGGCCTTTTTTACGAACTATAAACGGGCATTTACAAGTTGAGTAATTCTTGCATTTTTTTTCCTAGACTGGTGAAATAAACATAAGTTCAGTAGTTCTATATATAACATCTTAAGAACTGAAAGTAAAAAAATTAGCTAAAGTAATAGAAAGGTTTATGAATGAACAAACAGGTACATTACAAATGTAATTCAGTGATTTTAAGTTTTTATTTAAAAAGTGGAATTAGAAATTAGCAATATTCTACATGTAGAAATAATTATCTATTGAACACATCTCAACTGTAAAATTCAATATGCTTATAGATATTACCATAACAGTTACCTTCTTAGGGTCCAAATTCAAATGAAACTAAGAAATTCAAATCTCTTACCTAATATCTTCTGATAGGAAAGAACAATCACTAGCTTCATAACTGTACACAACGGATCCAGTGAATTCTAAGAAGGGGAGGTCATCTTTAAAAACACTCTTCTGAATAGATGCCTTGAGTTAAACAAAATTCCAAAAAGGCACAAAGTTCATAAATAATACATGTTCATTTAAATAATAAAGTTCACTGAAGCATTCAAATTATACTTCTAAGTTTTATCAACTAATTCTTTATAGACTAATTAAGTCACAAGGACAATTTACAAAGATAAAGCCACCCACTGTAAAATTATTTTCTAAGAAGTTTATTTGCAAGCTTCTAATCCTATTTTCATGAAAGTATTTTATTAATTTTTTTCTGTAATTCTGCTAGTATTCTAGGTGTAATAAGGTTGCCTTAAAAATGCTGAAGACTGAGGCCGGCCCAGTGGCGTAGTGGTTAAGTTCGTGCACTCCGCTTGGGCGGCCCAGGGTTTGTAGGTTTGGATCCCGGGTGCAGACTTACACAGCACTCATTAAGCCATGCTGTGGCAGCATCCCATATACAAAATAGAGGAAGATGGGTACAGATGTTAGCTCAGCGCTAATCTTCCTTAGCAAAAAGAGGAAGATTGGCAATGGATGTTAGCTCAGGGCCGATCTTCCTCACCAAAAAAAAAAATGCTGAAGACTGGTTGGTAGATCTCAAATCTACGAGGACTTAAACTTGATTAATCAGAAAAATTCACTGAAGTAAATACTATTCTAAATTATCATCTGAATTGGAACAAACTAGTAAGGTCAACCATGCAAACTAGCTAAAAAGGGCAAGTACTGACTAAGAATTCTCATTTTGTAAACCCAGTTAAAATTTAATCCCATTCACCCATTCAATGACTAGATTCTGGTTCATTCACACAACGGCAACTCTAACTTAACTAACGACCTGAAGTTCACAAGTGAAGACTGACTTATTTTACAGTCCAATTTACATTAAACTTCCCATCTGAAAGAACAATTGATAAATTGCATACCTTTCTTTCTTCTACAGCACATCTTTTATTCTGCATAGACATCCATTCAGGAAGTTTCCGCTGCTTTGCAGTTATTTCCAGTTTTTTTCCATTCATCTTTAAAAGGCTCTAGTTGCAAAGTCCAAAAAACAATTACTTTGTGAATAAACACAGTACAACCTTTGAAAAAAACTCAAAGACAGGCCTGTCAATATGTTTGAAGAACCAAATACATATTTTTAAAGTAAGTTATGGCATCTAGGCCCAAGTACAGGTTATCAGAGCTGGAATCCCAAAAGGAAAAGAAACAGATAAAACATGCTAGATCTAATCACTATACATTTAGTATTTCTTCTTTGTAAAATACGTGAGCCAGTTTAATTGAGTTCTAAGGTTCTAGCAGTTTCAAAATCCTATTATTCTATGACTTCGATCCTTTCAAAGAATAATCTTTATCTCATTAACAATGAGAGTCCTTGGGTATAAAAATTGTTATAAATTTTTAACATTTTTAATTTTCTTATCATCTGTCCTAAGATCTAAGTAAACTCAGCAAACTGTTAGATTGGTTCACAAATCTACCTTCAGATGAATTTTGAGACAGATAACAGCTTTTCTATACTAAGGTTTTCTTATTACGCTCTTGGCCTAGCAAGCGAACAAGTTTCCCTAAGAATAAGAGTCTCACAGAGGATATTTTTTAAAAATCTGTTACTAGCTTTGAGGGCTCTCCTCAGTGCAAACCAAACTTCAAGAATGGTTATAGAGAACACAATGAATAGGAGAACCATGACATACTCTTTTTGTTAATGGTAAAATGGATCCATACCCTCATGTGACTTAACATACTAAATTGAAGTAGCCTTAAGTTCTTAATAAAATTCTTCAAATCCCAACCTTAGTTCCTATTATCTCAAATTTCTAGTAAAAGGGCAGCAGTCTTGAATATATACCTGAAGATTCTTATGATGAAACATGGTTAACATGAAATAATCAAAGCAACTATTTACGATTTAGGGATAGCCTGTTATCCCTATTGATATTCAGCAATATAAACTTAGAAGAAAATAAACAATGTCTGGCAAGTATCCATTTTAATTGCTCATTTTTCCAAACATAAACCCCCAAAACTGCAAAAATTGATAATTAATGGAAGAAAATTTTAAAAGATTAATTTAGCACACATAAATTTTCTATATAGAACTCCACCACTCTTATTCATTGGGAAAGAAAGGATTAACAGTAGGCTGGTAACTCATTCTCCCTACTGGGGGATTCCAGTAAACATGCTAATGACCTCAAAGTAGATGGTAGCCTTGTAAACCTATCAATGGGTATTTACTAGCAGAAAAATACCAAAGAGTACCTATCCAGAAAATGTTAGCAAGATATAGCTCAACTATCAAGATTGCTTATCGTAAATAAGTCTGGAATTACGGTTTATTGATTTATGGCTGGAAAACGGTGGGAGGGGGAGAGGTAGTCAAGTAAGCTGTGTAACTAAGAGAACATAAAACAGAGGAGTTCCCAAACCAAAATGACTTCCTCTGTGCAATTACTTTTTTCTTGTACACATTGCTCAAAACTGTTCTATTAACCCAAACCATAACATGTCCTAATGCAGAAGAAAAGGACATTTTTGGAATCTGTGTTGGATAGCTTGGGGTTCCTCCAAATAGAAAAATATTCCATCTGCACTTGATGCTTGCTTGTATTCTTTGAATCATTAGCAAAGTTTGGCGTTAGGTAAGACCTCTGATTCACCGAATCAGAACTGACAACTCAAGTCTTTGGTGTTACCACTTGCATTATATGTAATAACATAAAATATGTGAAATATATGCGCTTTACTCACTGTAAAGCATTTTACAAATGTTAGTGGTTATTAATAAGTTTATATTTGCCACAAATTCAAAACCCTTGACAGGAGAATCAAAAGTTGATCCCAAAGTGTGTGTGTGTGTGTGTGTGTGTATAGTCTGTTCTTAATCTTCAAATCTATTTTTATAAAACTGGAAAACAAGTTTTTGCTATATGCAGAGTAGATCATCTATTTGCAAAACTGCCAGAAAATTGAGGTTTCTGCAAATAATACACAACTCTACAAAAACAACTATAAAATCTTCGAATTTTGTAAGTCATTCATTCACACTGTCAAGACAGAAGTAAATTTCAATAACTCTTATCTGCAGCCACCTATTACACCAAAATCATTTTAATTTGAAACGTCTAATTTTTAGATGTAAATACTCTCTTTTGCACACAAAATCCTGTCTAAGTGTTTCCAGGTAAAGAATTTGAAAGTAAAGTTGTTTACAAAGCCAACATCTTTGTCAAATTTACTTACATCTTGGTACAGATAAAAAGCATACAGAAAATCAAAGTTGTAGAATCATTTGCAATGGGGACATTCTTCAACATACATGAGGATTTTAATCGTTGATCAGATAAAGGTTATTCTTGGAAGGGATCCAATTCATTGAATAAAAGAATATTTTATATATATATTTAGCTGTTATGTTGTTGAATATGAACAACTTTGACACATCCTTTTCTAAAATCAAGTCTTTTATCATTTCATAATGGTTCATGCTGTACCATTAAAGGATCTTAAATTCCTCTTTGAAATAAATAATGTATTTTGATTTGCTTTGACTTGGACTTTCCTGGAATCATCTTGCCTATCCATCTACCACTATCTGCCACTTTTCAATCTTTATCACTTTTTTAAAGGCCGTCTTTAAACAACATACACCTGGGATTTTTGTTGTTGTTTGTTTTTTCTGTTTTTTATTTTGAATAGCCCAATTTGAACATGTCTGTCTTTCAATAGGGAAATTCATCTCATTCACAGTTAGTGTAAGAACTTGAGCTTTCCTTTTCATCTTACAGTGATTAGTATTTATCTTACTTTCTTCAGTTTCCTCTTATTCTTTTCCATTTTTTGACTGGGTGAAATTATCATTCATACTCTTTTTTTCCCATTGTCAGTGTTAAAATCTCACTTTTTTCCCACCCTACTATTACTATACTATCCCAGCAAAATAATAAATCTATTTCTTCCCCACCAAGACCCTACATTTGCACTGTCCCTCTTCCCAGCAAGGCAAAACTCGCAGAATGTTTTTACTTCCCCACCCTTCTAACGACTGTTTTTTGCTGATATGGTTTCAGTTACAGCCTGTCAGATTTCTTAGTATTGTTTTTCTATTTCAAGAATTCTTACCATTTTCCAAACATTTATGTTACAAATTTCATCATCCATTTTAATATAAATGTATACATAAATTAAAATACATATGTAAATTATATATGGCTTACTATAGTTTCCTCTTCCCTTCATCTTACCCTATCTTGAATCTCTGTTCTGACTCAATTGTTTGTTTAGAGGACTTTTTTCAATTATTTTCTTCAGATAGAATATGTAGGTAATAAACTCTGATCCCCGGCATATGCGAAAATGTATTCTTTCAAATAGACAGAAGAATGATGCATCGGCTGAGGATAAGTCTCTTAGTAGTTTGTAGATGTTCTCTTACTGTCATCTACCTTTTAATGTTACAAATAAGATGTCCATTGTTTTTCTGTTGCTTTTTTCGGTTGTGAGTAATCTCTTTTTCCCATCTGGGAGCTTGAAAGACTTTCAAGGATTTTTATATTTCAAAGAGCCTAAGTGTATGTATCCTCCTTATTCTCCTTGGGATCAGTGAGTCTTTGGAAAGAACTCCTTTCCAAGTCTTTTCTTAAGATCAGAAAATTTTCCCCATGTCATGGGTTAAATTGTATCCCTCCCCCAAAAAAGATATGTTGGAGTCCTAACCACCCCAGTACCTCAGAATGTGACTTTATTTGGAGATAGTCTTTACAAAGGTAAGCAAATTTAAACGAGGTCATTAGGATAGTCCCTAATCCAAAATGAGTGGTGTCCTTATAAAAAGGGAAACTTGGACCCAGAGACAGACATGCATAGAGAGAAGATGATGTGAAGAAACACATGGAGAAGATGGTCATCTACAAGCCACAGAGAGAAGGCCTGAAACAGATTCGTCTTTCACAGCCCTCAGAAAGAACCAATTCTGCTGACAACTTGATTTCAGACTTCTAGCCTCCAAAATTGCCAAGACAATAAATTTCTGCTAAGTCATCCAGTTTATTGTACTTAATTATGGCAGTTGTAGCAAACTAATATACCCCTATTACTAGTTCAGTTATTAATTGTCATATCTATTCCTCCTTTCCTTCTACAGCATTTATTCACAGGCTAGTGAATTTCTTCTTGCCTGAATCTCTTCTCCTACTCTCTGTTTTTTCCTTCGTGACTACCATTTCTTTCATTTTGTTCTGTATTTTAAGACTTCCAAGATGCTAACTTCACCCTCAACAGTGATAGGCCTCTTTCAGTTTGTCTACCGGACTTTTATAATGTTAAGATCTAGATTGTTAGTTTCAGAAAGTTTCTTTGTACTCTAGTTGAGTCTCCCTAAATGTAATATTCTTTCTTTCTTTTGTAAAAGTTATAACCTAGCCATTTCAAAGATCTGTTTCAATAGAAGTTCCCTATTCTGGATGTTCTACTGGTCTTCTTTCCACTGACTCTGCATTCCCCAGGGAGACCGCTGTTTTACTTCACCTGTATAATTCTATTTGCCATCTGCAGTAATCAGCTCTTTGGGTCCCTCAGGAAGTTGCAAATAGGGGACCAAGAGACCACAAATCTACTGAAGCATTGCAAGGCAATTTCTCTATTCACAGGTCTCCAAAGCTGTCATCTCAAGGTCTAGCCCCCAGCCCGCTGAGCCCATCAGTACAACTCCTCTGCAGTCCTCTAAGACAGGAAAGATCAAGTAGGCTTCCTAGGACCAATCAGTTGTTCAGTTCACTCAACAAATATCTATTTAGTTTCCAGCCATATTTGTTCTACCACCGTAATTCTATTGAATATTTTACTTAGGGAATTATGTTTTCATTCCCTGCTTATCTTCCAATTTTCCTTTTCCACAGTTTTCAGTTTTTATTAATACATTTCCTGTTGAATCAACTGATAATACTTATTGGGACTTTACGTTCTTTTTTGTTTAGAAATTAATTTTTATCAACGGTCAACTATTCACTTTTTGAGCTTGATATCT